GGAACAATGGGTGAATCTTTTGTTCCGTGAAAGCCAATGAATGGGTGGTTCATTCAATATTTACATGCATCTGGATAGACATGCCCATCCACTACTTATATTTCAAGAAGATATTGAAATTAATCATTCACCGAAGCATGTACATTCTTTTATCAAAGGAGAAACACTGTTCAATAAATATAATATCATTAGTTAGCTGAAACAATCTCATGTGGCAGGTAGGATTCCTCTCATCATAATAGAAGAGATCTTGGCTTCATCTCTAATCTAAGTATGTGATATGTAATTATAGATGTGGTAATGAAAAGATGAACCTGACAATGATGAAACATGTGCCAAAAATATTTGACCGGGAACCTTTTGGAAGCAAACCTGAAAACATTACTAGTTTAGCCAAGTCTTACTCACTTAGAATTGCCACAGGCTAATAAATATGGGAGGAAAAAACCCTTCTTCCAAGCATGTAATTTTACTATAGTTGGGTGAGAATGGTTTGTTTCTGAAGCAGTTGTTTCCCTCTCCTGTCTGGTACACACACTGTTTACAGTACATAAAAAAAAGCCAAGAAAATTGGCTGTTATGGCCTTCTTCCTTGTTTAAACTGGATACAAAAGCAGCCAGACTAAGGTACGGGGTGCCATTCTAACATGAACTAATTAAAAAAAGCCTCTTTGCACATTTCCCCACTATTGTTGGAGGAATGAAATCCTGGAAGAGCAACAGAAATTTGGGAGCTATTTAAAGACAACACAATTCCTTCTCCTGTTCATCTGCCACTGCACAGTTAAGCTATAATTATCATGAATACTGGTGCAGTATGAAAACTAGCTTCCTTCATGGCTTCTTACCATGGGAGCCAGGTCAACACAGGTGGATGATGGCACAAGTATTCATTCATTCATTCAATCATTCATTCATTCATTTGATTTATATACATCTGGCAGCCAAGCCACTCTGGTCAGTTTACTACAAATAACATAAAACTACAAAGTAACAAAATAGCAAGCAACAACAACAACAATACATAGGGATAATATTACAGTAGAGAATAGTTACTGTTGCCTGTGTGGAAACTTTGAGCAGTGCAGTGTAGCAATGTGACTCTCATAGCCTCTTGCCCTTAGTGACAAAATGAGGGGGTTTGTGGAGAACTTTTTATTTAAGAACTTGTAATGCGGTATATTGAAGGTTTAGGGAAATGTTTATTCATACTGGTCAACAGCGATAGCCAAATACACAACAGCAATGCGAGTAAAGACAGTCTACAGAACCAAAGATAGTGCACAGCTATATAGGAAACTCACAGAGGACCATAGAATTAGTAACTTAAATTGGGATTCCTTGAACTTTCTTTCCCAGTAAGTTCCTTGGATATTCGTTTCTCAGGGTTTCCCTTTGATATTCCTTCAGGATGAAGCCTGAGTATTTTATTGTTTCAGCCTACCTTTCCTAAAGTTAGAGAAGGTAGGTGATTCTACCCTTCTCATACAATGGCTGTCTTCCCACGTTTCATTAAAGGACACTATAACTGGATTTTGTTACATGTGTGAAATTCATTGCCTTTTTTATATAATTACTAAATCCTAATATATATGGTTATATTTCAAAGTTGCAATGAGAGGGATCTCCACAGGGGATCCCCCTTTTCTCTGCAAGAGATGTTTTTTTCCCCCTCACCCCAAGAAATTTCAGAGGATTTCTTTGATGTTTCATAGTCATTTTTTTTTCACAAAGAAACAACCGTCTGCACAGAATTATTACAATTTCCATGTAAGTTGGCATGTTTCCTGCACAAGACTCCCTGAAAAGGGCACTAGGCCATGAAGAATTGTTTTTTTTTGTGTGTGGAAAGCTAAGAAAAGGTGCTGATGCAGGGGGAAGTCTTAGCCTGACAAGATTTGGAAAATCTCCATGAATTATAGTTTTTTTAAAAAAAATATTCTTCATGTCTGTAGAGGAGTGATAAGCCAAGTCCTGTCTTCAGCATTTCTGTATCAATCTAATGATCCTGAACGGTGAACATTTTAAAACCACAGCTACTATAGTCATGCCATCACCTGTTGTCCAAATCCAATTGCCACACAGTATGCGGTATCCTAATCATCAGAATGCACCCATCAAGCACCCTACAGTCTAAGTCTTTGTATTATCATCTTTTGTTTTAAACAGATTGTGCAATTCAAAGTCCTCACGAGAAAAGGGAGAATGCAGTTTCAAGCAAAGGATTTCTAAATTCTCGAAACAAATAATTTCCAAATATGCAGAAGAGCTGAGTAACAGAACTTACATTTTGGAGGCAGTTTCAAAATTTAGCCCCTGGCATCACTTGGTAGGCCTCTGTCTGCAACCCTGGGGAGCCGCTGCCAGTGACTGCTAGTTAGGTGGGCCAACAACCTTAATTGCACAGTAAGGAAGCAAGTGTCCTGTGGCAAACTGAAGCCAAACAGGCTCTATTTGCCACAACTTTCATGGACTGCATCCACCATGTATCAGATGTATCAGTGGACTACAGTATACAAAACCATAGGCCAAATAAAACCTGTTAGCCTTAAGGATGTCACAAGATTCTTTGTTGTTTTCACAGCAACAGATTGTGAAGCAACACAGCTAACTCTCTCAAAACCTGAAGACAACTGCAGTGCCCAGATGCTGTTCAAGATTGCTATGGATTCCTTGCTTCAAACTGAGCAGATCTTGGAGCAGCTGAAAACACATACATCATCTATACACAATGTGACGTCCTTCAGGTATTTTGGACTGTAACCCCTGTAAACATCAGCCAGCACAGTCAAGGGTCAGGAACAATGGCCCAAAGCCTTTGGAGGCAGTAGGTTGCCTAGCTTGGCATGTAGAGAAATATAAAAAGTCCCCAAGTTCCATCCTGGTAATCTCCAGTTCTAAGGATCCAAGCGAAGAGCTCTGGGAGCACACCCTGCTTAGAAGCCTTACAAAGCTGCTTAATTTATCTAACTTTTACCCCTGGAGCGAACCCAACAACGCACTTCTGGATTAGATGAATAAAGGATCATACTCAGGATGTGGCAGGGTCAGATCTTGTGAGGTTTAAGAGAAAAATAGGTGTCGAAATTGTAGGATACAGGACAAATGTTTCAACACTCAGATCAGAATGTGTTTCAATGCACCAGTCACACCCTATAAAGTGTTTGCATAAAGATATGTGCTTCCCATTCAATTCCGACTTATGGTGACCCTTTTCAGAATTTTCTAGGAAGAGAATACTCAGAAGTTGTTTCTTCTGAAGGCATTCTGGGACTGTGCAGCTTGCCCAAGGCGTCACAGGCTCGCTCTACTTGCATGAGTAGGGAATCTAACTCCAAGCCTCTGGCTCTGCAGCCAGGTACCTAAACCACTGAGCTGTCCAGCCAGCTGTAATGTAAATAACTAGCAACTTAATTAAAAACAAACAGAAGTCCTATCAAATAATTTTGATGCTATCTACCCTCACAGAGAATAGTTGGTGTGCCTGCTGCGTTTCTATGCTCAACACCCAGTAGTTATGCAACCCTGGCAAATGAACCCCTTGTGCAGTTGCTTGGGGTCAATGAAAGGTTACAGTGAATGTCTAAAGATGAACCTCTTCGGGATCACAGTCTTGAGTCCTTCGTACGCAGACAAAACTCCGGTTCCTTGTTAACTGAGTTGCATTTGTACCCATAGGACAAATCAGACACAAGAATGTAGCCAGAAGACATATGGAAGAGCACCAAACACATGCACCCATACAACTCATCTTAAAAATGACGAAATTAATATATCCAGCTATTTTAAATCCAGCCTATTAAATATGTATAACATTTACTGACTAGGGTTAACTAAATATGGATAGCATTTACTAACTAGGGTTAAGAACATAGCAGATATTAGGTGTTTTAAAAGAACGAAATATTTGCCTGATTGCAACAAGATCATTTTAACTCAATAAGTGAATAGGACAGGGGTTTCATGTCTACATGATAAAAAGGATTTAAGTCAACAAGGGCTTCTTTTCTTCTCAATAATAAAAAGGAAATAAAGGAAGTGAATAGTAAAGTTTTATCACTCAATAAAATGTATACCTGAACCCCAATGCCACAGGTTTGGAATTGACTAACTGTGCTGAATTATGAAAGACTGCTATATAAAGTTCAGTCTGGAATACTAGCAATCATACTCTTTAGCAACATGCATATAGCAACCAGATATTTCATAATAACCCTCAATTTTAAAGGCTCATAAAATCTGTGTATTACTCATAATTTGCTAGAGGACAAGAGAAATGGTTGAATATAACACCTTCCTCTCAAACAGGGCTGATATGTAGTCACATTCTCTTATTATAACAAGTTCATTCTTAAAGCTTCACCTTTTAACTATTTTTAGCAAAAATAAAAATTCACTTTACAGGAATATGTATGCAAATGCATAACCAGGAAAAGTGAACAGGTGAGGGGGGAAAGTTGTAAATTCAAGGTGCTCAATTTTATAGGTCAGATGAATATTAGATATTCGAACCAACAGCGAAATAACCCTTGATCCTTTAACGAAGTAATGTAATGTATTATATGGTGAACATCAATATTCTCCAAGTACAAGTTAAATGTTTGAAAAAGTATCACACCTAACAATGAAGAAGTCATAAAAGGAGTAAAGTTTTAGAGGTTATGGGAGGCATTCTGAAGAGCCACCAAATATAGCTTTAGATTAGTCTGGACTGATTTTGGTCTTCATTCTACCTTTGCTCTGGAACGCTGCCAAAAAGGGGCTTCAAAAGGAAATACAACAATTACTAGAATAGTCTTTGGTTTCTCCTACCTGGTTTAAGAAAGTACCAGCACCCATAAACCACCAAAGGATAACTCGGATTGACAATCCAGCTCAGGTTTAGATAAGACATTGGCATGAACAAGAGCAAATCTGCCCTGTCCCTCTATTCTTTATCAGCAAACATCGGACAAAATCAATTTATCTCCTACACCAAAGGCTTTTAAAAGGTGACTTACTGCTTGTCAAGTGACTTGGTGAGGTATGCTGCCCATTGGGTGTGCTTGAGGTGAGGTCAATTGCCATGTTGGAGTGCTCCATTTCAGGCGAAAGTTCATGGTCACCTGGCCCAAAACAAAACAAAACACCTATCAGCTTTATGAAGAGGGGGAGAAATGTTTGCAAGCCTAAGAACATCTGCTTGCAAAGGAGCAAAACTGTTTAACTGCTCAGTTCCCCGGCATTAATAGACCCAGGCACCGCTTATTATTACTAGGGGGTCCTTGTTGTGGCCAAAATAAAATTGATTGTTTCAGAACCATAAAATTCATTGACAGTGACCTCGTAAGGAATTGGAAAGAGCAGAAAGAGCCGCTTCCTGGCTTGCCCAGCATGAACAAAAGATTTCAGATTGCTGCCCTAGGTCAAAGCAAGACAAACATCAGCCTGTACTTGCACCCGCTTGGTTTCATGCTCAGTCACTTAATTTTGCATAAAATGTAGAATTTTTAAAAAAATATGCCCCGTTTGTGCACATAGTTTCATTAAATGGTCGGGTTTTAGTATTTGCAATGACACAACCCATTTTTTTTCTGAAAATAAGCAGTTCAGAAAATATGTTTGCAACATTTTAGTTCCCAAGGAGGAAAAAAAAAGCCCAAAAAGCACAAAGGAAAATAAAATGAGTACTTACATGGCATGTATCCATCAGTAGCCTCTGCTTCCATAGTCAAAGTGCAGTGCTGCAAGGCAAAAAGTACACTGTCAAAGATGCCCTTGCTCTGTCAGCCATTAAACATCTGCGCTTCGATGCCTCTTTTCTTTTTTGTTTCTTTGTAGCTGTTTTAAACAGTTTGAATAGCACAAGAGCCTCTGCCAGGAATCTTTCTGAAGGCATCTAAGTTTGCAAACAGGTAGGCAAGGTAAGCTTGCATTCCGAAAACAAACCTATGGTGAAGAAGAAGAAGAAAATTGCTCTCCAGCCAGAGTTTCCCATTTGGATCTGATATATTTTGAACCAAGGAGTTAGTGCCTTATCACAGCTCTAGCCATAGTTAGGCTGCAATCCTAAACACAGGTGCTCTGAAGCCCAACCAAGGGGAAGGGTACCTACCAAGCAGGAACTTTTGGGATTTTGCCTTAAGTCTTGTCAGATGGCAAGGTTAAGTGCCAATTCACTTGTGCTGTGGCATTTTTTTAATTCAAACACGCAGAGACACACCAACAGTGAACTGACATTTCTCCAGTGCAGTTGCTACACCTTTGACACAGGTACCCTTGATTGTAATTTATCTAACGAACTTTTATCCCTGGAGTGATCTCTACAACATTCCTAGACTGCACACTTTATAGCAATCTCAAAAGTTTCTCAAGGCACTTTGGTAACGAGGAGCCAGATATTACTTTCCAGAAACCTAAGTAACTGTATTAGATGACGCCCACTAGCTCACCACTTAATTAAAAATAAAATAAAAGGAAAAGGTCAGCAATCAGCAGCATATAATTTTAAGAGGAAACTTCACAGAGAAGAAAAGGCAAGGTGAAAGAAGAATTTCCATTTTTCTTCCCAATCCCCAGCCCCTTTTTGCCTTTAGTTTCAAAACTCTCACTACACCAAGCAGTTAAATTATTCACAATGAGCCATTTCTGTATTGATCGTCAAGTATATTTAGCCCCAGCTCCTGGAATTTCTCCATTACTTACTGGAAAACAGGCAGCTTCATTTCTTGCCTCCTAAACCACTTCCCTTCACCTCATCCCCCTCCTTTAAAAAAAAATTAAATACTTTTCTCTGTGTTCCTCTTTGACAAACTGCAGATCAAATTCCCAAGATACACTCAGTATAGATTTCAATAAGCAAAGCTGCCTCCGATCTGGCATTTGCATGCCTTTAGAAAAAAATAGTACCTAAGATTAAAAGATTTTAGCAGAAGGACAATTCCCTGAATTTACCTTATCTTTCCCCCTTCTGCAGGTAACATACACAGGAAGAAAGGGGAAAGTTGTCTAAAGACGGGGGGGGGGTAATACCATCCCAGCCAATGAGATGGGGAGAAGGAAGAGGCGAGGAGGGGGGTTGAGAGAAAAGTTATAGGATAAAAAATAAAGTTTGTTCACCATTTCCAGCTTCTGATGGCAGCTTCTAACCCCTCCTCTGAGCCAAGACGGAAAAGACAGAGGGGATTATGGTGCACTGGGACTGTAGCAAGATGGGGAAGCGTCCTGAAATAAGCCAGCCCCTTCTTCGTCTCTCTCCCCCCCCCCTTCCCCGCCTCCAAGAGTTGAAGAGAAGAGGAAGAAAACTTACAGGTAGGTCATTCAGAGCAAACAGATCGGTGGGGAAACAAAGCAGTAAGGAAGAAGGAAGCTGCCTCTTTTTCCCTGCCCACCCACCTCCCCCCTTTTCAGGATCGTCTGGTTGGGAATGGCACGTACTTTCAGGAAAGATGAAGAACAAAAAGGGAGAGGGAGAGAGAGAGAGGTCAGCCAAAGCTACAGCAATGCGATTAACCAGACGAGAGAAAACTTGATCCACCGGTTCCTTATGAATCGAAAGAAGGGGGAAAAAATCTTGGAGGAAAGAAAAAAAGGGGGGGGAGACTTGGAAAGGGTGGATCAAGGAGTTTTTAAAAAGGGGGGAAAGGGGGGGAGCAAGAAACCAAGGCGAACTTCACAAGGATTGTTTTTGGCCCTGGGCAAAATAAGGAGTTCTTAATTTCACCTGGGTATGTGTCTGCCTGTGTTTCTTCCCGCGGCCACAGCAGAACCTGTCAAAGTAATTTAAGCCTCGCTTTTTAAAATATAATGTGTGGCATGCCAGAAAATCTTAAGTTAGCGTTCAGTAAGACTTGATCACCCCCGCCTGCCTCTCTCTCTTGCGTGGAAGGCTTGTTGCAAACTGCAACTGACAAGCCCCGTGTCAGGTTTTCTTTTTCTTTTCATTTTTTTTAAAAAACGAGAACTGATTAATCGATGAACACCCTAGAAAACAGAACCGTCTTCTCAACAAGCATCCTTTTTAACAGATAATGCCTACTCGATCGCTCGGATCGGCTGACCTGTACCAGGAAAAAAAGGTGCACGCACAAATCAATACCCTGCTTTTCTCCCACAATTACGAACGGTCTATTATGGGTTGGAAATAGCAACAAGTCATTGTGATCCTGGTGCAGGAGATGCTCCATAATTACGCGCTGCTCTATGACAGACTCTCCTCTCCGCCTCCTTCCCCCTTTGCAAAACAGACACACACACCAACACACGAGACACACACAAACACACACCAGACAGAGATCGCCAGGCAGCCCTCCCCATCGAT